ATAAAAAGACAAAAAAATGAAAAATGGACTAAAAAAGTACATAAAAAAGTTAAAGGATAAAAATTATAATAACATTAAAGTTGAGGATCAAAAATGAAATTTATCCTTTTAAATTTGAATTGAGTTATACGGACACAATTGCAGGTTATGAAAAGCCCTTAGCCCAAAACGACGTTGTTTTTTGCTAGGGGAATCCTTTTTTTTTCATTTTAATTTGCAGTGTGTACCGGCCGAAATTTCGGTGAACCAGTCGGCACACCGAAATTTTGGTCGATACACCAAATTTTGACCAAAACGCTCGAAATTTAACTGAAACGAAAATTGACGTTGTACCGTTTCGATCAAGTATCAAAACCGATACGTACCGACCGATACGATACAGTACTAACTTTACTGATGTAAACCGTTTCTACACCATTTGTAGAAAGTGAGTTAAGTCACTCTATTTCTACTGTGGCTTCCTACTCAAATTTTGCCATATTGATTCAAAAGTTTTTACCCTAATTCCATCAATTCTGTTTCAGATAATGACAACGTGGGTGCTGATGTAAACCAAGTGGATAATGCTCAAACTACCCAAAAGGATCTTCCCATCGTTTTGGAGGCTAAATACATATTGATGTTTTCAATTCAAGTTATTTCTTCTAGTTTGTTCTTTTGTTCTAATTCTTTCTTTCTTCAAAACCTGGAGCCTATTGTGATGATTGACGAGCACAAATTGCACTACTATCACGAGAAAGAACATCATATACGAAATAAGAATTTGATTCTTTCATATTGTGCTATGTTTTTTAAATTAAATTAAATAGTGGTTGTGCATTCAAAGTCAAGTCTTTTAGTGTTAGTGTCACTTAAAAAGCTTGCATTACATACATCTACTTCTTTTTGAGTAATTAATTCATCCCAACTTTTCCAATCATGAAATCAAATTTAAAAGCATAAATTTTGAGTATAATAAATCTAATAAACAAAGTCCAATAAACAAGGGGAAAGAAGAAACAAGCTAATGTACTCAAAAAGCTTTGAGGACATGAAATTTACTCAGATGTTGCTCCTAAACCTTCTGCTGTTCCAAAGCATCGAAATATATGGCGCAGGAATAATTATATAACAGAAAAAATGTGTACTTGGTTTGGGGAATAGGGGTACAACTGGAATGGCCTCAGAAATGGCCTTCAATCTTAGGTTTCATTGTGGAGGGTAGCCCATTCTCCCGTGTAAATATTTTTCTTTCTGTTTAGGTTATTTTTCTCGATGGGTTTCTGAGGTTTTTTCTCACAAATGCGGTTATATTGCTACTATTTCAAGGCATTAGTGTGTTATTAATAATGTGTATCTTTTACGTATAAAATAAAAAAAGAATGTGTATCTTTCGAGGTAGAACACAGGCACCATGAATACAAAGAACCAATTGCTTAGAGCTTAGTGTGAATTATTTGTAGGCTTGTGGTTTAAGTAATTACCTTTCCAAACTTAACCCTTTTTCCTTTTTTTTTTTTTTTTTATGAGTCCATTGCATCACAATTTAAATTGTATTTTGTTATAAGACAAAAAATTTTAAATAAAAAATATTTCAAATATCAAAAGTTTTTTCTTCATTTAAAGTTAGTATTTGATAATATAAAATAATTTAAATTATAAAACACTTTTTTTTTATTTCACAAAGATAAAATTGATATCAACCCACTTTACTTGGACCATAAGTAATATTTGAACAGTATAAAACCCATTAAAGCAAGACTATGCCAATTGATTTTTCTTTTTTCTTTTTTCTTTTTTAATGAAATTAATTTAATCATCATCCCAAAAAGGCAGAAAACCCAT